GCAGTGTATGGATGATTAACTATATATATATATATATATATATATATGTTGTTGTATAAGTTGACAGTTGAAAGTCAAATGTTGTGTTCCCTTTAGTTGTTTATTATATGATGTTGATTTTATATGAGGATTTTTTAAGTGAGCTTACCCTAGCTGTTTTCCTTATTGTTGGAATTGCTATGACCATACTATTGTATGCAAGTAGATTAGGAGTAAGTGCCCTTACAGTGTTGGGCAGACATTCTTTTTGGATGGGACTTAGCAAATGAGTTGATATTTTGTTGTGTTCTATTGTAATCGGTTGCCTAGTTATTTTGTATATGATATTTCATCATTTACTTTCAGTTGTATATGTATATGGAATTTTTAGTTGTATATTCTCATTATGCATATAACTGTCTGGTTGTGATGTTTTATTTTATGTAAATTTTTGTATGGTATGAACTGTGTTACTAATACACTTTCCATTGACACTATAGAATGAGTGAAACCTATCGGGTCGTTACATCTTGTTCGACCCATTCGAAGAACTACAAACAAGTCGAAAAACTCACTGTTTATGGGTAACGGTTCAGGTTTAAACATCTCTCATTCTGGAACACTTTTACTTAATGATTTATCCCTCTCAAATACTTTGTGCGTTCCTTCCATGCAACAGAAAATCCTTTCTGTCTCTTAGCTTACCAAACAAACTAACTCTGCTGTTGTTTTCTTGCCAAACTCTTTTCATGTGAAGAACTTGCAGACGGGTCAAACAACCCATAAAGGCTCATGTGTGGATGGACTCTATCTCTGGCCAGCCAACTCCCCGTCCTTCCACTCTGTCCGCACAGAATCCTATGCTTCATGGCACCATAGACTTGGGCATCCCTCCTCTTCTATCTTCACTTTCATTCAGCAGCGTTTTTCTTTGGGTTCAAATAAATTCCAGCAATAAGATTGTAACTCATGTCAAATTAGCAAAAGTCATAAACTTCCTTTCCATGAATCCACTCTTAAATCATCTTATCCTTTGGAAATCATTTTCTCTGATGTATGGACTTCCCCTGTTTTATCAATTGATGGTCTTCGCTATTATTGCATGTTTGTTGATCATTTTACTCGCTATATTTGGCTATATCCGATAAAACGCAAATCTGATGTACAAACTCTGTTTCCTAAATTTAAATCGCTTGTTGAAAATTTCTTTCATCACAACATCAAAATTCTTTACACGGATAATGGTGGTGAATATATTGGTCTTCGTCCTTTTTTAAGCACTCATGGAATAAGTCATCACACCACCCCACCTCATACACCTGAACACAATGGAATTTCTGAACGCCAGAATCGGCACATTGCCGAAACTGGTCTCTCTCTTCTCCATCACTCGGGTTTGCCCCTCACATATTGGCCTCACGCCATGACAACAGCCGCCTATCTCATCAATCGACTCCCAACACCAATTCTTGGGTACCAGTCACCCTATTCCAAATTACTCAAAATTAGCCCGGATTATCATAAGTTAAAGTGTTTTGGTTGTTTATGTTTTCCCTGGATTAAACCATATGCTAACCATAAACTTGCACCAAAGTCTGCTATGTGTGTTTTTGTAGGTTACTCGGCTGATCAACATGCATACTTGTGTCTCAATCCAACCACTGGAAGGATCTACACCTCTCGCCATGTCAAGTTAGTTGAATCTGAATTCCCGTATAACTCCCTAGTCCCTCAAGCCAGTTCGAGTGCAGAGCAATGTCGCCACCGGCCCGAAACGGGCTTTCGGCATTCGCGACGATGGTCGGACTCTTTTTAATGTTTTGAAAGTGGTGGATTGATAGAACGACTTATTCTCAAACTGAGACCTTGTCGAGCTACCAATTTTATTAAATGATTCACCAATCCATGTTAATCCCAAGCGGGACCCTCTATGGATTAGTGGTTTTCGTAAAAAGAAGGGTTCTTGGAGTCGCCACCAATGTTTTACTCAAAACATTGGAAAAAGAAAGAATTTTGATGTTGTGATGAAAGAAATTTTCAACAAGCGATTTAAATTTGGGAAACAGAGTTTGTACATCAGATTTGCGTTTTATCGGATATAGCCAAATATAGCGAGTAAAATGATCAACAAACATGCAATAATAGCGAAGACCATCAATTGATAAAACAGGGGAAGTCCATACATCAGAGAAAATTATTTCCAAAGGATAAGATGATTTAAGAGTGGATTCATGGAAAGGAAGTTTATGACTTTTGCTAATTTGACATGAGTTACAATCTGATTGCTGGAATTTATTTGAACCCAAAGAAAAATGCTGCTGAATGAATGTGAAGATAGAAGAGGAGGGATGCCCAAGTCTATGGTGCCATGAAGCAGAGGAGTCTGTGCAGACAGAGTGGACGGACGGGGAGTTGGCTGGCCAGAGATAGAGTCCATCCACACATGAGCCTTTATGGGTTGTTTGACCCGTCTGCAAGTTCTTCACATGAAAAGAGTTTGGCAAGAAAACAACAGCAGAGTTAGTTTGTTTGGTAAGCTGAGAGACAGAAAGGATTTTCTGTTGCATGGAAGGAACGCACAAAGTATTTGAGAGGGATAAATCATTAAGTAAAAGTGTTCCAGAATGAGAGATGTTTAAACCTGAACCGTTACCCATAAACAGTGAGTCTGGACCCGTGTACAGATGATGAAGCGCTAGATTGGCAAGATCATTGGTGACGTGATGCGTCGCTCCACTGTCAACCAGAAAATTAGATTGAGAGGTGCCAGCAGTTGCAGTATGGACCTGAACCTATCCAGGGTTAGCAGAGGAGTAATGAGGAGGCGGCGGGACACCAGGGTGCTGCTGCTTGAAGGTGTGACACTGAGACAGAACATGACCCTTGACATTGCACCACTGACAGCGACCAAGAAACGGTTTGCGATTGCCAGGGCGTGAAGTGGATGATGCAGAAAATTGCCCAGACCGAGTTGGGTCGTGCCTGTGCATTCAAGGCTGTCATGGGAGTAGGAACCTGCCGTTGTAAGGCTCCTGCCAAGGCCTTCGAGGAGTCGGAAATGTTGAAAAGCTACAAAGCTGAGAAGCTGCGTGAGAGGTCTAAAATATATGAAGGGTTGAAGGCAGGATTGACCATGAGGCAAGTTCATATGCCTCAATACAATGCTCCAGTAGGAAAAATGGAGATGTATAATGCCTCGAGGTTCGGCAATACTTACATGCCGAATGCAAATGTGCCTGTGGGGAAATGGAATGCACCACCTAGGCTAATGATGATGGGAGGAGGTATGGGTCGAGGAAAACAGGTCATGAGTCATACTGCTCACCCGATGCAAGGAGTGCCTGGAAGAATGCCAAACTCCAATACAGGGCCTAGTCGAGTTAATACAGGAGGGTATGGGCGCGGTTTTCGACAACCTTTCAGCAACCCGACTAAGAATCAGTGGAGGAGACAGCAAAGGATGAGGAAAGCTACTTTTGAAGGTATTAAGGGAAATCGTTTTTCGATTCCGGTACCCCAAAAAGGGGAATCCTCTCAAAAGTTCTTGGAGGATGATGAAGATATGATTACAGACTGTTTCGAGAGCGGATTTGAGGATTCTCTAGAAGATATCTGTGGAATAGTGTCTATTTTGCCAACTGAGTATGCTGGGGCCATGGAGGCCGTGAATGAACAAGAGGATATCCATCGAGAGGATTATTTTGAGGACCCTAATTATGAGTCCAAAGTTATATGGGTGAATCAGATCTCGAGGGTTGTCCCCAAGTTCAATTCTGCTGTGTTCGACTCTCCCACGGAAGAAATGAAAGGGCATCTTAAGCCCCTCTTGCTGACCTTGATGATCGAAGGGCAAGAAGTGAACAAAGTCTTAGTCGATGGGGGTGCAGCTGTGAACATCCTGCCTAAAACCATGTTAAAGAGGTTTGAGAAATCTTTGACTGATCTAAAACCTCACAATATAATGATTTCTGATTACGCAGGCAAGTCTTCAAACCCTGAAGGTATGATTCTGCTCGATGTGCAGATTGGGAGTGTGAAAAGGACTACTATGTTCATAGTAACGCCATCGAAGGCGAATTTTAATGTCATGCTAGGTCGAGAATGGATACATGGGGTAGGCGTTGTTCCTTCCACGGTTCATCAAAGGATTTTCTTTTGGAATGAATATGAAAGATTGGAGGTTCTCGAGGCTGATCAGAAGACTTATGAAGTTGGCATGTATTTTGCTGATCAACAACTGACAGCATTTGCCAAGACCAAACCATTTGACGCTTACAATTCTAGGGTGATGGATGAAGAGGAAGGCGTCAAGAAAACTTTTTGTTGGGACGTGAAAAGAGGATTTGTGATTCGAGCCGAAAAGAATTCGGCTCCACTAGATGAATGAAGGGAGACGATCCTTATTCGAGCTTCTTAGCTCGAATATCGGCCTATGTGGCCGATCAAACGGCCAACTTGGCCGAGAAAGATCATTTTGACAATGAGGCTAGCACGACCATTTTGGCCGAAGAAAAATAAAAAAAGAAAGAGGAGACGGATTTCGAGTCAATAAGAAAAGAAAAACAAAAGAGAAAAGGAAAAGACTTCGAAATCGAAAAAAAGAATGGAGAAAAACAAAAAACAGAAAATCAAAGGGACCAAAGAGTCTCAGATAAAAATGAAAAGCAAAAAGAAAAAACAGACCTCGAAGTCGAGAAGACACAAGAAGGTAAAGAGCAAGAGCTAGAACTTAAACTCGATTGTATTTTCGATGATTCACCCTTGGTGTTCGAAAAGGCCGCTAATGAAGAACATAAGTTAGAATCCCGAGAAGAGGATCGTGTATTAGGCTGATACCATATAGGAAAATGTTTGGAATGAATTTGATTGATTTTGTCATTGGTTTACTGTAGTTCAAATATACAAATTGATAACGTAAATTGGAAAGAATCACGGGAACAAACTCCACCAATTTAGCACTAACAGTTAGCCTAAATAAAGGGAAAGCAAATATGCAAAAGCTGGCTAATAAAAACTGATTATTATAATTTAAAAACTAATTATTATAATTGATACCACGGACCAAGCAAGAGTTGTTTTAGGAGAAGTTTTCAAATGATGCAGATATGGAAACTAAGAGCACCGTATATTTCTTTAGTCACGGTGCCAAATACCTGTTATTTTGTCATTATTGGCTAAGGATTCTACGAACTGGGACATATTTATTTTTCAAATACACGCAAATCTAGTCCCATTCTGTAGTTTCCAGGAAGGTCCAGTTGCAGATATTCATATTTGTCTTTCCATCAGGGCCAATTGGATCATAAGGTGAATCTTCTGCATATTCAGTTGGCATTGACTTCCAGTGCAGGCTAGGTTCCCATTCTGCTTCTTTGAGGACCTTTAGTATCTCTTTTGCCACTATGTTGCTCCCCTCACAAGTCAGATGAACTCCATCCCTATCAAACACCACTCAGCCAAATGAAGGATAGGAAGATTTGAACATTCTCAATTAAGATTTAATGGCATATGACTGAATGCATGCATACTTACGTGAAGCAAACATCTCTCCAGTCATCCCTTTTCTGGAGTGCAGACCACAGATCAATTGCCTTGATATCCATCTCGCGACAGAGCTCCAAACATGCTTCTGAGTATATTGGGTCGTGCCTGTGCATTCAAGGCTGTCATGGGAGTAGGAACCTGCCGTTGAGCAACAACAAGGGAGATTTCTTGAATGAGAAGCTTCTCGAGGAGGTCATCAAAAAGAATGGCAGTGTCCCTTGCATTGACGCCATCAATGACAGCTCTGTAGCCGTCGTCGAGACCACGCAAGACATGGTCAGTCATGTCTTCAACGGAGACAGGAGAGCCAAGTGAGGCAAGGAGATCTACAGTTTGCTTCAGAGAATGCATGTAGGTGGTGCTGGATTGGGTACCTTTGGACACCGTGTGGAGACGCTCCTTTAACTGCTTGAGGTGGCTGCGGATGCCTTGGCATAGGTGCGTTGGAGAAGAGTCCAGAGATCATGTGATGTCTTTGTTTGAGACATCAGGGATGCCACTTCAGGGGAGAGTGTGGTGAGGAGAGCACCGTATATAAGACGGTCCTGTCGACACCAGGTTTGGTAAGCAGGATTCGGAGTTGTCACCGGAGGTTCAAGGGTGGTGGAGACCGTTGTCGCCGGTGCAGGAAAGGATCCATCTGGATATTTGAGAAGATCATAGCCATCGAGGAAAGCTTCAACTTGAAGTTTCCAGGTGAGGTAATTGGAGGGAAGAAGCTTGGTGACACTACTGAGGGTGATGCAAATGAAGGGTTGTGATGGCTCATGAGAGTTGCTAATAGATGAAGAGTTGTCGTTGGCCATGGGAGGCAAAAAAAAAGGAAGGAGCGGCGTCCTGTGTTGGGAAAAAAAAAAGGGAGAAGAGGATCGTGTATTAGGCTGATACCATATAGGAAAATGTTTGGAATGAATTTGATTGATTTTGTCATTGGTTTACTGTAGTTCAAATATACAAATTGATAACGTAAATTGGAAAGAATCACGGGAACAAACTCCACCAATTTAGCACTAACAGTTAGCCTAAATAAAGGGAAAGCAAATATGCAAAAGCTGGCTAATAAAAACTGATTATTATAATTTAAAAACTAATTATTATAATTGATACCACGGACCAAGCAAGAGTTGTTTTAGGAGAAGTTTTCAAATGATGCAGATATGGAAACATTAAGGTAAAGTTAGAAGAGTTAGAAGCATAAGAGAAGTATTAGACGAGATAGACAAGAGTAAGAGTCGAAATACCTTGGGAACAAACTTCATGGCATCTTTAAGCAGTTTCTCGCCAGAAGGTTTTTTAGGTTTCTTAGAAAGGGGAATGACCATCTTTGCCTTCCCTTTATCCTGCTTTTTTGTAGTTGAGACCTGATATTGGAAATAATGAATGTGATTATAAAATTCGAGTAAGTAAATAACCTCAAAATTGATAATTCACTTACAGTTTTAGTACTGTCTGAGCCTACTTTTTGCTTTTTCGAGGTTTCAATGCTCTGCAAGGTAAGAATCAGCAATAAATGAACGCAAGGTAAAATACTTTGATGGTAAGGAAGATAAAAGTCGAAAAGAAATATACCTTAGAACGAAGAGAAACCTTCTCAGCTGCAGTCTTTCTTTTTCGGCTTTTCTTCGAAGATTCTTTGTCTTCATCATCGTCACTTTCCCAGTTGGGAGTTTGCTCAACATGTTGTGGAACACGCTCAGGTATGACAGCTACAAAATTCGAGAAAAAAGGTGAGACAAGTTTAAGATACACTCGAAGAAGAAGTAAGCAAAATAATATTTACCAGGAGCAGGGTTAACGTTATTGACCCAACATAATGGCCACCATTTGCTTCGAGGAAAATCATACACGGAACATCTCGCATAAGTAACTCGATTCTTTACCCGAATCTCTTTGCGCTCAAGGTAAAACGGGTCGAGAGTCGTCAACCAAGGAGGGCGAGATAAGAGGCTAACCAGACCAAAAAGAGCATTTGGAAGAGGAGGTACGTGTTTTGGGCAAAAAATTTCGAAATCAGTTTTACCTTGAGGGTTTATTACCTTTTTTGAGCGGATGTTCCGTTGTACCATTTTCGATAAGGATACAGAAGCGTCAAAGATGGTGCGGTGTACATTGTCAGGTCGATAACAAACCTTAAAAAATTGCTCGAATTGATAAATTATAAGTTGATTCTTGAAAGTACCTGATTGCTTAGGCCCCTGCGAACAAGAGAGAGGAGAATTAATCAGCTTCTTCAAAAAGCCATCAAAATCGATGAGTTTATCTACAACATAATAACACCACCATCGAAGGTAGCATTTCGAAACGAAAAATGAAGGAGAAAAGTTGGAAGGCGTAAGCTTAAGTTCTTTCCCTGGTCGAAGAATGAAGTCAAGAACTTCCTCGTAATTGCCCTCTTCGACACAAATATCCGCATCAATACTTTCCTTACGTCGAAGAGGCAGAGGTTTCATTTGGCAGAGACCAAATTGACGAGCAAAAAGTTGAGGCTGATAAGGGTAGAGTCTAACATCTCTTTGCCTCATGCCTGAGAAGATGACGTCCCATGATAAAAACCCAAACCAAATGTCAGTCGAAGAAGGATTGATGCTCCCAACTTGATTATTTTGACGTAGCCAGACTGGACCTATTAAATTTTGTCGAAGAAAAGGGGCTAAATCCTCGGTAAACTCGGTGAAACTAAGAAACGCTCTAACATATTTTTCAAAATTATCTACCGGACGTTTCCGTGGAGTAAGGGTAGTCAAACGAGCTCCTTCGAGTTCACAGAGTGGAATTGGAGTGGAAGGTAAATAGAGCCTCTTCTCGAGAATGGCGTTGAGCCATAGTTGGAGCAGCCATAATGGACCGGAAAGATTTTGAGGCCCCGACTCTCGAGAAAGACTCTCAGAAGCTTCGTCGAGGCATGTGTATAGGGACGCTAGAAGAAACTTGCTCAAACATATCTTTTTCTTCAGATGAAGGGCCTGAGCTAGAACATAGTAATATTTTGGGACTTGGAGTGAAGGAGTACAAAAAACACAGGCCGACAACCAATACATTAGAAAAGCAATATGCTCTGAAGAGGAAACAGGTGTACCAGGTTGTCCCATATGGGCAGTAATTAAAGCCAGATAAGTTTTTTTATCCCAGGTGATCGAAATATCCTTGATTGAGACTTCTTCCTCAAAAGCATTAGGATGAAACCTCTCCCCAAGAGGCAGTAACCCTGTTATAGCAGCAATGTCTAGCAAAGTGGGGCAAACAAAACCACAAGGGAACTCGAAAGCCCTAGTTTCTCTATTCCAAAAGAAAATAGCAGAAAGGAGCATTTGAGGATCGAAAAGGTGAAGGTCAAACTTGGCTAATTGGATAAACTCAAAAATTCCTATCTCTTTCCATTCAGAAGACATAGAGGCTTCTATACGGGTTAGCCAAGATAAATGTCTTTCTTTAACAGGGGGAAAAGCTCTAAAAAAAATTGTGGTATCAGCAAAGAGATTCAGGTCTATCTTGGGTGAGTAAATGAAAGGGATGGTGGTGGCGTCTTCAGGAAGAAGGGTATTACCAAACCTCTTATTGTTTTGACCGGCAAAAGGACCAAGAAAAGCATGGATAGAACCATTCTCTAGAGAGAAAGGGAGAAGTACCTGAGATTGATATATCTTCAAACTGGCCTCCTCCATACCGGGAATAGGAATGAAGGTATCATCGCCCCCCTGAACCTTGCGGACTTGAGCATTGGTAATGAGCAAAGGAATGCCCTGAGTAGGAGTGACAGTGGCCATAGTGGACGCGGCGGCTAAGACAGGAGTAGAGGTAGAGGCAGCAGCAGGAGAAGTCGTGGAGATCACAGCAGCGGAGCTGGAAGCAGCTGAAGAGGCCATTGAGTCACAGAAGTCAAAAAGGTGAGAAGGAACGCAGGGTTCGTCGGAGAAGAAAGCACAGGATACACCGGAGAAGAAAATCCAGAGAAAAAGCAGGAAAGCTTGGGCGCGAAGAAAAACAATGGTAAAAAATGAGTTTCACGCGAGGTAAAAAAGTATTCTAATGGGCCTAAGGTAAATGAGCCCACGGAAAAATTTGAATTAAATGATTGTAACAGCCGCCAAAATATTTCGGTAACAGGAAGCACGCGCCGTTTCTGCCATTAATATCGCTGCAACAGTCATATACATTTAAAGCGAATCTAGAAACGGGCCAGATTAGGGTATCATCGAAAAGGTGCTTCAAGTAAACGTACCTCAAGTAAATATACAGGGATTCGACGCTTTAAATGTACAGGAATTCGACTTTCTTTATATCGATACATAAATCAAGATCGAATTCCTAGGGGGGCACTTGTTCGACCCATTCGAAGAACTACAAACAAGTCGAAAAAATTGTGCAGACTCCTCGAGAAGTAATATGAAGATGGACACCTTCCAAATGGCAAATATTCGAGATCGAGAAGAGTTATGCTCGAAAACTAGTAAAAGTGTAGTACCAATGCATATGAAAGTGGTCAAACGTCTAAATTGAGACGTTAACACATGGGGGGACAGGTAGGTCGAGAGGTTAATATGAACGTGGGAGGACAGTTAAAGGAAGTTATAACTCAAGACCACGTAGCAAGCATAGTGGATAGCGGTTATGAGCTAGAGGTGAACATGAACAAAATTAACCGCTCTTGATTGCTCTATAAATACAAGGATTACGGACCGTAACGAGGTCGGAAAAACTCATACTTGAATTAGCTTCTGAAGCATTCTCTGCCTACACACACATATGGCTTTCGTGCACAAGATCGTTTTTGGGTATGACTGACTCTTGGCCACTTTTCTTTTCTCTTTTTAGGAGTAGAAGTAGAATAGTCTTCTTGTTCTTTGTTTAATCACGTAGTGTATTCATGTACTTTGATCAATATGTTTTCATGTGTAATGTAATTTGACCATTGTACGAAATGAACTATGATTTGCATTGCTAATATACGCATTATTCATTCTGTGCATTTAAGTATTTACATACATGAACATTATTGCTTGATAATACTTAAAGAATATTTAGAGACAAGCAATTGCTGAAAATTTTCACTCTATCTCTGTTCTTTGCACTATGTTCCAAAGTATATAAGAACGATAACATACCTAAATTGAAACATTGATTGTGCTAGTCTGAGTAAAAAGAATCCTTAAAATAAATTTCACCGTAAACACATCTAAAACTGTGAAGGGCTTCTCAGCGGATCCTACCCACCCACACACATACATTTATATATATATATATATATATGTGTGTGTGTGTGTGTGGGTGTGTGTGTGTGTGGGTGTGTGTTTATGT